AGTATGATTTCAGGATTTTTGTATTTTAAGTCACCCACCCCCACATAACTCTAATGAAAGTCAAAAACCACACTAAACATTTCAATACAAAGCTAAAGAGATCATATGAAGCACTGCCAGAAGGACAACGACTAGCTTACAGTGCAAACCAGTAGAAAGAAATTCAGAAGGGGGAAAAGAAATCTGTTACATTTTTCAGTGAAAAATGTAAGTGAACTATTCACTGCCTGGGATCCAGAAATTATTTTTGTGAGGATTAAGCAGTAAGGTGATTTGACTTTTCTATCAGATAATTTATTCTTACTTCAAGGGAGTCTATAGAAATTTTGCTATTGATTTCAATGTAAGGGGGATCAGACTGAGAAACACAGCTCAGTATCACATAGCATAAACTAAGACCAAGTAGGCCCATTTTGTGATCTCTTGTCTATATTTCCGTATTGGCCAGCAACAGTGAATATGGTTTCCTTAGGAGATATGAACACTACTCAGACATGACAAGGCTTGAAGCAAATGTGACAGCATTAATTCAGAATATCCTTACTCCTGAGAATGTGTGTAAAAAAAATATTATTTTAAGACAGATCCATGCTTAATAATTTTAAAAAGTCAACACATTCTCTCTGCTCAGTGTGTAATGATCTTAAAATCTCATTACTACCTCTTACCAAAAAAAAAAAAAAAAAGCCTATCCTTCATATAGCTCCATTTATCACTGCTTAAAACTTTTGATAGGACACTAATCTACTCTTAAAATAACAAAGGAGTAGCACAGTAATCCATCAGATACACCATCAAAGCTACAGCGCAATGAATTTACTTCCTGCAGGGGGACTACACCTTCATTTGAGTCATGCTCCAAGGCTGTCCAAATGCAACTTAATAAGGTGCTTCAGTTATTGTTGACGAATCTTAATAAATAAGAGTTCTAACTTAACTGTATTAAAGAATCTTCCATCTGCATCAGGTTTCCCTAAAGCCAGAGTCATTCCATAACACCCAGATCTGACAAATTCTTTTTTCCCCTCCGGGAAAAAAAAATAGTAGCTTTTCTTTTTAATTGAGTTGATAGGCATCTTTTATAAATGAGTGAGGTACTAAAATCTCTGTTAAGATTCTCTCCTTTAATATTATAGCTCATTTCCCTTATAAAATCATTAATGGAAAAGAAAGCCCTCTTTGTTAACTCTAATCTTTCTCCCTTGCAACTGTGCCAGAGGCACTTTATTATGGATCAGGTCATGAATATTACAAATTACAGCTGCAATGTGTGGCAACAATGAACTCAGATTATTTATATAACAATAATACTCTTTCTCCTTTGAGAAAAGAAGGTAAACAGTATGCATTGATCTCCAGGACAATATAAACTCAGTTCCTTTTAAATCTTTTCTTTGATATTTACAAATCCAGTTTTCCATTATGAAATAATAGCACAGCACTAAATCTTCAACTGTTGGAGCTGCTACAGAGTTTAATGAAGCCTGTACCATTTTTTAGGTCAAAATTCTTTAACTGTGACCAACATGCCAGCATCCCACTATGTGCATATATATGACATTCAAAAAAAAACCTTTATAATGGGAAAAAAGTTAGCAGGAATCACACTTGGGTAAGTTTCCTACTATAAAAACTGATGTGGCAGACTAATTGTGAATGTACAAAAGCCAGATGCAGGCTGGCACAATCAGGGAAAAAGTAATGAATTTATAGAAACTGCCTTTGCTATAAATGCAATATAAAAATAGCAAAGTGAATTTCACATAAATTTGGCACCCATTTTATTTCAGAAAAAAACGTGCCCCTTTAGGAGTTAAAATATATACACTTTGAGTAACTTTAGAGTGTACATGACAGAGTTAAACTATTTGCCTACTTGAAACAAGAAATATGCTGGGAAAAGCCTGTATGTTTTCATACTTGTTGAAGAGCAGAGAAAGGTAAAGAAAGGCAAATCTGAGTATAGAAGAGTTGTTTGTACAGAATTACTATCCACAATATAGCCTTCCACACCCTTCACTTTCAATGAAACGCACATGAAATCAATTCCTTATAAGCGAAGCTCAGTTTCAGAACGCATTGCAATGGCAATATGACAATATTCTTGGGGCAGTGCTGCCTTCAGGATGTCCTTCACTGTCAAGGTAAATCAAAACTTCAGCCGACAATCATTTACTGGTAAATGAGAGCAGCACAGTCTAATTCAGCACGTGCTACCAGTCCCACAGTGATGTGTGCGGTGCTTACAAGCGAACCTTTTGGACCATCTAGCTGCCCTAATGGATCTCTAGCAGAAAAGTTGTCTCTCGACACTCAGGTGGTAGGTTTGGGTGTCCCGTCTTCAGAGCAACTTCCTTCCTGGATAGCGCGTGGAATTCGTCACTGACGTGCAAGAAGGAGCCTGATTGGCTGTGCTCATCTAGAAGCCGCTGTTAGAAGGCTGAAGTGATTAGTCAGATAAACTTTGACTCTCTGATTACTGGGAACACAGGCCGGAGTCCTATCCTCTGATTATACACTAATCTGCTTTTCCCAGGTTTCATGAAATATTGCCTCAAATAGGCTTAGCTTAATACTCATCTTTTAAGAAGAACGGAATTATCTTCTCATTAAAGAATCGGTTACAACAGAAATATGTTAGCAGTTATTAAAGAACTTTGGGGGGGGAGGGGGAGGAGGGAATGACAAATTTCTCTAAATCTACTTTTTTTTAAAAAACACTGAAAAAAGATTAAATTCAATGTACATTTGCCCAAAATGTGGCAACTCAGTGCTCACCAAATGTTTCTTCAATTTTATCTCTACTTTCTTGTTTAATTAATTATTGACACATACTAACACAATGTAAAAGACACCTGACCTTTCCATTTAGCATCCTAATTCAGAAAAGCGCCTAAATAAGAAGTGCCATCAGCATGTGTGTTAAGTGCCTTTACTATCTGGGACCTAGGCTAATACTCAGCACCACATATTTCTGCATAATTATTTTGTACCTTGTAAAAAAAAAAAAACCAAACAAAAACCCTCCCCAAATAGACAGAAAACCTACACATGTACTTTCTAGATTCTTAGAACAAATTATAAACACTTATGCCCTGATCTAACAAAGTAGTCAGGCATACGAGTTGTGTTACAGTACTGTGCAATGTTAAGGTATCAATAATAGACTTTTAACTGCTTTAAAAGGGC